TAAATAATGATAGGATGAAAATGTACAGAATTATAGAAAGTCTAGAATCTGATTAGGAAAGAAATTAGGATATCCAAAACCACTTATGAGAAAGAGCTGGCTGATAATGTTAAGACTAACAGCAAGAATTTTTGAAACATGTTAAAAGTAATCAAAATATTAATATGGTGATTGAACTATTAAAGCATGTTGGTGACAAAGTTTTTGTTGAAGACTATAAGACTGCTGGGTTTCCAAATGTTTTCTCATATTATTTTTTAGAATAGATGATGTTAGCAATATTCCTGCTCCATATCATTTTGCAGGAAACATCTGAATTGAACTGGGTAACTTACATATTAATTCTTTGATGGTACATAAAATGAGAAATTAAAAATAGATAAAGCATCAGTATAAGACTATGTTTCTCCTATGGTTTTAAAGTCAAAGTTCAAATATCTGTGCCTTTCTCTTTCATTTTTAGATTGGAAAGTTGCTAATGTTATTCTTCTTTTTAAGGTGGTAATAAGAGTTGCCTTGGAAGTAAAAGGTTATATAGTCTTACTTCTGTAGTGGGAAAATTGTAATTTGATAAAAGAAGCTTTATAAAAATATTTAAACAAACAAGTTATCATTAATTAGAAACTTTGCCTTACTTATCTGTTAACATCCTTTCTAGGATATTATTTATCTGTATGATGGAAAGGATGTTGTTTTGATGCATAGATTTTCAAAAGGTGCTACCCAGAAAATTGGATAAAGAAATTGCAATACTGTAGTAGGGGTTGGTTGAAAGACTAGTTGAAGAGTGTCTAGGTAACAGAAAACAAAAGTTAACATTTTCCTCCCCTCACAAAAAGCTTTTTTTGACTTATATTGCTCTCTATCAGCACAAATTGTCACTCACCACTAGCTTTGGTACTCACCCTTTTGCACTCACATATGTTAATGCGAGATATCTGCATACTAACATGTAAATGATTATGCAGCAACCCTCCACCAACAGGAGTGCAACACTACCCCTATTGCAACTAGCACCCTCTCTAATCTTGTAGTTGTTAACCACTTCAAGACTGGTCAGATCAAACTAAACCACACTGCAAATGGGGAGGGCATGTGGGAAATGTGTGAAGAGGTAAGTATCTATCTGAAATACATTTTCAGTTTAGGAAAATTTTAAATTCTGATACAATATCTTACCTCTAGAATCCCACAATAAATAGTTGAAAGACTGATGAGATGATCCCCCTTTAGGAAGTCCCCAAAGAAAACTATGGGGTGTAAGAAGGAACTATAAACAACACACCTGTGGGAGACAATACCACTTCTGAGCCAGGTATATCTTTGCCCATTAGTAATGTATCATCAGAAGGGCAGAAACAAAGGAGGTCCCTATGAAAAGTTAGAGAAATTAAAGGGATCCCTCGGGGTAGATTGGCTAGGATGCCACAGACCATAATTGGGAATTCAACCTCAAACAACAATTGGCAGCATCTGGAATTCTACATCAGGTCTGCAGTAGGAAGAGGGTCCACTACCTTTCCCCTGAAGAATGAATACCGGCAGAGAAGGAGCTTCTGTACCAAGAACCTGGCCCTGTTGGCATGTACCTCCAACACAACCAACAGTAGATCCACCAAGAACCAACATCCGGCAGATGGTAGGAAGGTGGGGGCCTAGGTGGGTGTTCATCTCCAGTCCAAACCTGATGGCATTGGGAATGTATCATCCAGTCTGCAGTAGGAGAGGGTACCCAACAATACACCTACAAGAATTCAGGTGTCTTGTCCAACTACAACCAACACTAGATTCACCATGAACCAACATCCAGCAGATGACAGGAAGAGGGATGGCTATATGGGGTTGCATCTCCAGCTCAAAACCTGATGGCATTGGTAATTTATCTTCCAGTCTGCAGTAGGAGGAGGGTAACCATCCAAACACATGTGAGGACTTGGTGGCTGATCTGGCTTCAACCAACACCAGATCCACCATGAACTGGGATCTGGCAGACAGTAGGAAGGAGGGTGCCTCAGCCAGAGTCAAACTGCAACATATGTCCACTACCCCAACAGAAGGAGAAGGGAAATAGTGCACCAGAGAGTCAGGAAGACCTACGCACCAGAGACAGTGCAATGGGTGACCTCGATACCCTATTTTGAAAAGCAGAGTGGCATCTGGAATTGTACATTAGGTCTGCAGTAGAAAGAGCTTCAAATGCCACAGATCAGAGTTGGGCAGCTATATCTCTTTGCTTTACTCATGAGTCCTTGGTTGTATACTCAGGGACAAACACATTTATTAAGCATAAGACTGGGAGGTAAACCTTCTAGCAGTCCTGTAAAATACCCAATCTCAATGATTGGTGTAATATGACCTGGTTATATGTTATGACATTGTATTTTGAAAGAATAGAGAACACATTGACAGAATTGATCAGCCAACACCCGGTGGCATCTGGAATTGGAAATCAGGGCCGTGGTAGGAAGAGCCTCAATGTCATGTTCACCTAACATGATACACGATCCTAGGTCTTACAGGACAGATGTAAGACTAAGTTTACCTGGTCTGTCAATACTCACCATTGACATACAAGAAAAGCCTCTGTAAAAATAAGAAAATGAATGGAGTACTTACCACTGTCAGAGAAACAGAAGTGTGCAAAATGGTGATAGTTATGTGCAGTGGTCTACATACCAGTAGTGATGATGTCCTTCAAGGTAAGACAGAAATCTGCAGCCAGAGACTAGGTAAAGTGAAGGATTGGATGGGAAGAAACATGAAACAGATGACAACCTCAGGAGAAAGGGATGGATATGCCAGGTGAATTAACTGGCAAATCCAATGCATAAAGATACGGGAGAGGTTAGGATTCCAAAGAATAAACCAATGGAATCAGGAATCACAAAAAGGAGAAGTGCATGTCATATACCACCAGAGAGCCCTGATTGGGCAAAGGAGGTGGTTGGGATCAGAACAGTCATAAAGGTGGGATATGGAGTGAATGGAAATGGGTGTGAAGGTAGTATTACCATCTCAAGCAGCCAAAGTTTTGGGCATAAACAAATGATCAGGAAAGGAAAACATAGAAACTATCAAACAAAATGCTACTGGACAGAACAACAGTGGTGCATATACCACTTACATAAGTAAACTGCTGTGAAGGAAGTATGAACAGGATGGGAAACTAAGGAAGCTACATGCTGCAAAATTCTGGTCCTTCTGGGGAGGAACCAGACAAAAGCATTGTGAGAAGACAGTGTGAAAATGGATGGATGACACACACACCGGAGATGGACTGACATAGGAGAGTTGGAGATAAAGGAAGATAAGGGGGGGATGATAACAAAACATGGATGGCACAGCAGTGGAAACCATGTTTGAGTCAGTCAATACAGAGCCACCAACAGAACATAACACGAAGTTGTATGAAGTATGGCAAGGACACAAGAGAGGATATGTATATAGATACCAACCTGTCCAATCCTGACTGGGAGCACAAACTGCTCCTACCAAAGGATGAGGAACAGGAGACCCAACATTGGGGAGGTTGTATATTAAGATGAATGGCAAAGGTGTCCATATCTGGAACACAGTACTGAGCAAACAACCCCTGAAAACATATTCACAGACTACTCCGTAGAATCATGTTGCAACAGGATAACCAATCTGCAACCAGATTCAGGGCACCCAGTATATGACACGCCAACAAAGAGATGTGATGCCTGTCAGCCCCAATACAGAATAACCAATGTTTCAAAACAGAGATCATTTGAATGAGTGCCCTCTTGTCTGGTTATTTACAAGACTACCAACTGGCCCCGAGGAGCCAGCAGGAAGTGAA